TCCGGAAACTTGCCTCGCACGCGGAAGATGGCCATCTCGCCCCCGGGCATGTGGCGCATCCTGCAGCGCGGCCCCATCAACAACTTCTGAGCCTCCTTCGCACTGGATCTAGGAGCCTCGAACTGTTGGCGCGGGCGTCCTGACGTAGTCCGGCAGGTCCACAATCTCTGGCGCCCTTCGACTGGTTCAGCTCCGTCAAGCGACGAAGCGGGCGCTGCGGGCGGCCCTTGATTCCGCTAAGAAAGCGCTGGAGCTGACGCTGCCGCCGAATCATTGCCGCTCGATGTCCGCGGCCCCTCGGGAGCCGGAGCTGAAAGAACAGGCGGTGGAAACACTGGCGCGGGAACTGGTGCTGGAGGTGGCGCCTGGCCACCCCCACGCGGTCGAGGTCCGTCAGGCGGCAGCGGCACTGCTGCCAGCGCCACTGCAGGCGAAGGCGCCACCAGCGAAGAGGAACATCCAGGCGGGGCCCCTGCTAGGAGTCCAACAACAGACCATGCGGGAGCCATGGCATCTCTGAACCTGCAACCGGGAAGTCCGCTGCTGTCAACATCTTTGATGCCATGCTGAGATTGATCAAGCACTGCCGATGTCGTTCTCTTGTCTCCATGCGCACATGAAAATCGGCGGCCCGCGGAGAAGTTGCAAACCATGATGTGTCTCCAGAATGAACTCGCTCCTTTCCTCGGCTTCAAAGACCTGCTTGCGTGGGCAGGTAATCCATTCAAGTCCTGTTCGTGCTGCTCTTCGGGCGCGAGCCTCCGCCCCTGCCTCCGACGTCGCGCTCGCCGCCGGCCACGGCGACGACGCATGTTGAGATTGCTATTGATCACCATGGATACGTCGATTTTCAATGAGAGCGCGCTCCAGCCGCACCGTTGACCAACTGGGATTCCCGCCTGCAATCGAGCGCGCAAGATTGCAAATGGAAGCCGCGCTGATCCTGAGCACATTCCTGAAAGTTCAAGCCGTGACCTATCTCGTGGCATGATGCATGCGGCAGCACAAGTTGTAGCCATTCCAAGGCCACTGCTGGAGTGATCATAGGTACGTCTGCGCCGCTGCAACTCTCCGGGCACGCTGGAGCAACACTTATCCGCGTTCGTCTTCCGTTTGATGCGCCACTGCTGAAGCCAAATATCTGAAGTGCGCACAGGGACTTGCACAGACATCCAGGCCAGGCAAAATGCGCTCCGACGCACACAGTGCCAAGCCTGGCGTTGAAATGGCGGTGCAGATGTGGACTTCAAAACTACTATGATGTTCCGGAATCGCCCTCGCCAGCGGCGCAGACAACGCAGTCGTCGACGTCGTCGTCAGAGACGGCGTCGAAGTCGACATGGTCGGAAACTCTCGAAAGAGAACTGGAGCTAGCAGTCGTGCTACATTGACTCGACATGATGCATCCATCTTCAGAATCGAACCCACTTCCGCACTCTATCCCTGACGCTGTAGTCACGAGTGCCAGGTAGCCAGCGCCCACGTCTACAGATGTTCGAGAATTCAAATCCTCGCCGAACTAATGCTTGCTTGTCTTGCGTAACTTGCGACGCTCAGGCCAATCGCACGTCTCGAAACTAAGAATGAACAGCGGGCAACGACATGAGTCTGCTAGATACAGCTCCACGAAGAATGTCCGCGGCATGGATTCGAAAAAAATGATACCATCTCCTTCTTGAAGAACTCCACAAGTACATTGAAGATCACATTCGCAGAATAACGCTGAGCGGCAATTGTCCAGGACACTGCGATCCCAGATCGCCCAGCAACTCCAGGTCGATGGCAACTTCAGCAACTCTTGGAAGCGGAATGCCTAGAGGTGTCTCTGCCAACCCTTTATTCCTTTCTTGTCGGCCCCCGATGCCAGCGAACCTGCCGCCCGATGGACTGACCCGATGGAACTGCCGAACTTGAAAAGGGCGCCAGCGACGCAGTCCTCCGCGGCGCCAGCACCCGCGATAGCTTTGGCTGCCCGGGTGCCCGCGAGCACCCAGTGCGTTGGACGCCCTCGCACCACGCGAAACTCGCGGCAGTCTGCAGGGCGAGCCCACGTTTGACGCCAAGAAGAAATGGGAGAGCCGACCAGCAACATCGCTTACTCGCGCGCGGCAAAACTGAGAACATCGTCGCTGTGAAGAGAGCTGCCCTGGCCACAGAACTTGCGCCTCTTGCAGAGCGAACTGCCGAACTCGACGGTCTCAAACCCAAACTCTGAGCTCCCAGGCCCCCGACGCCCTCGATGCTGATCTCCTGCATCTGACGTTGCCGGGCCACGAGACTGCCAGAGTTGAACTCAGGCAGCTGCCTTGAAGTCCTGCCCGGAGCAGGCGTACGGTTCGGCCGAGCTGGAAACGAGGCCTGACGCGACGATATATAATCTCGAGATACCAGGTGTGGCCACTGATGGGAACTGGAGTGCTCCGCAGGTGGCGCTGCCATCGGGTCGCTGCTGCTCGTTCCAGCAGCTCCCCACGGATCGGAAGCATCTGGCGCCAGAGAGGTGCCTGAGTATGCATGGGTTGCTGGCGCGCTCGAAACAGATTGCGCAAGAAGCTTGCTGCTAAAACCCAACATACACCTCGCATTCGTACCATGAGGTGTCTCCACCATCGATATATCCATCTTCATATGGTCGACCCCCTTCCCCTCCGAGCTGAACAAGTCCACCTTAGAAAAGATGCCTCCACTGCGAAATCGATAGCCTTTGCCTCGACCTTTCCCGTTGCCTTTGAGGCTGGAGTTGCGCTTGCCCTCGCAGTTGCCCTCGGAGGCCTTGCCTGTGCCTTTACTTTCCGATGGCTGGTTGTAGTCTTTCTGGCCATAATTGCCGTAGTGTGTCGAGTAAGTCCTCTTGCCTTCATTATCACCTTGGTCAGACTCTGAAATCCGCGATCGCCAGCCGGAGCTGGCTTCCAGAAGGAAGGCCGTCAGAAGTGGAATGCCACTTTGGTCCCTCTGGCGGAGCTTTTGCCACAAAACTCTCCAGTGTCTTGTTGTGCGTCAGCTGCTTGTTCTGGTTCAGACCACTCTTGATTTCTCCAATAGTTCACGTCATACCACCAAGAATCACTATCATGTGCCAACCACACGTCTGCACAAATATTCAAATCATGAAGAACCCTGATATTACCAAGAAGAGCTACTACCACCAGTGTGATACACTCCAGCCTTGTCACGAAGAGTGGAAGATTTAGCTGCGTGGCGATCGCCGAACATTATGGTGCCCTATCGTCGTTCCGCCGCATACTTAAAGAGGTCACCATCAACTCGAAGCTGTGAATCGATGTGCTGTCGCTCAGACAGTTGCGCTCCTCGAAGAAGGAAGTAGGTCTCCGCAGTGTCATTCACTTGCTAACCACTCTGAGACGCCGAGTCTGAGAGGGCTAAAGCATAGAGCGCCAGACAGTCGCCGAGCTCGCTGTTGCCTCGAACTAACTCCAACAATGCCGCAAGCACGTCCCCCTGCACATCCTCCCTGTCCGTCGTTGACTTCTGTAGAATACGACGCAACAAAAACTTTGCGCCGCTCCCCTGCGCTGGAATCATGAATGCTCCGAGGTGCTGTGCCTCGTTGGCTGGGTCCGCGAAAAACTCCGGCGCCTCCAAAACTGCGACCTGACCCGTGTTTGCATCGTACCGCTGCTGCCTCAAGACCATCGCGAACTGGGAGACCTTCCCTCGAAGCCGACCACACACTGCTGGGCCCCACTGGGCCTCCAGAAGATCAGTTTGAAGCCACCATAATTCAAGAAGGTGCGCGTAACTCCTAATACAATACCATGTGATACCAGTGACCCATCCTAGTGGTGGTGAACGAGTGACACAATCCAGTGGAAGCCGTCCGTTACCACTATCATGTGTAGCGTTGACTGCCATGGTGCCAACTGTTAGGGATGAACAGAACCTGAGCTCGAGCGTCGTCTCCGGTCCGTAGTACCTCTTCCGAGTGGATGAGGGGGTAGTGCGTAGATGTCTGACAGTCTGCTCCCACGAACTCGATGACGCCGATGCTCCAACTAGCAAGGTCCAGAAGCCAAGCCCAAAGGAGCAAGACAAGACCGACATTGTTATGGCTGGCGAGAATGGGATACCACACTCGATTATTTCGTACTTGAGCCACAGATGCAACAGTACACATCATGACTTTTGTCTTGCATCCCTTCTACCATGCTTGCTAACATGCAACAACCCTCCCACTTGCTACTCAGAGTGAAGAGGGGGGAGGGGAGGGGAGAGGAGAGGGTGGAGAGGAGAGGGGAGGGGAGTGGAGGAGAGGCCATCCTGCGTTGCAAGAAAAAAGCATCGCGGCAAATAACACCCCGAACCCCACCCTTCTGCTACCCTCCTCGAGCCGCACCGATCCGTGCTGTGGCCCCAAGGCCCGAAGCCAGGCGACGGGAACGCTCAGTGAGAGGAAACACGGCAACGCCCAAATCTCCGGGAAAGACTGTATACTCCGGATCTCATAACAATGGGGGGGGTCTGCTTTTGGGGGGGTCTAACGGGCTTCGTCAAACACAATTGTCGGCGGCGTCGGCGGCGTCGTCACCGGCGTCGTCGTCGCCGTTTTCTCGGGGGGGTCCCAAAATGCATGCCCAGACGCTCCTCTTTGGGGGGGGTCCAGATCGAAACGTCCTACGATGCTTCTGGGGGGGGGTCCGGATTCTGGCGCGGTTGCACCTGTCGGGGGGGGGGTCCCAGACCGGCCGTCGAACACTTTTTTGACCCCCCCCCCGTACCCAGACCCCCGACGTCATGATTTTTTCATTACGTCGACCCCAGAGATCTCGACCCGTTCCCCGGGACCGGTTTTTCATCCTGAGTCGTTTTTTGACAGTCCCGAGGGCCGGTTAGGGCCTCCAAGGGCCGAAAATTAGGACAAATCTCCCGTCATGATTTTTCATTACTCGAGGGGGTCTGGGTATTATGAGATTTGGAGTAGCTCCCCCAGCTCTGGCCGGCCTGCCCAGCGCCCCTCTCCCCCCGCCGCCCGCGTCGGCCTCGCCCTCGCGGACGTCGAGGGCGGCCGCGTGCTGACGGTGGAGGGCCGGCTGCCGTCGTGGCAGAGCGGGGGCGACTGCCCGGGGGGGCACGCGGGGGGAGCGGCTCCCCTCCAGGCTCGGCCTCGCCGCTCGCCTCGCCGTCCTCCCCTCGCCCCCTCGAGGAGGAGGAGGAGGAGGAGGAGGAGGAGGAGGAGGTGGAGGAGGGGAGGAGGAGGAGGAGGAGGAGGAGGAGCATTCTCGAAGAGGAGGTTAGGAAGCAACTCATGGGTGGCCGGCGTGAGAAGGGTCAGGAACTATGGACTGCTGAGCCCTGTGAAATGGCCACTGGGCCGGATCAGGCCGGATTGAGCCCAGGATCAATCCTGACAGTGCCATATGGAACGGGATCAAATGGAGTTGAGCGGGATTATGCCGGATTGAGCCGATTCTCAACCACGGATATACCCACACCGCTGCCAAATATGACCTTCCAAGAATTGCATCCGAATTTAGGATGCCGAACCGGCCTGGCCGAAACAAGATCGCTCTGTGGCCACCAAACCGATCCGGCCGAACCGACCCGAACGACCATACCAAAACCTTTGAGAACGCCCCGCCGCCGAAGCCGAACCGGCACAACCGAACCTGCACGCGGCTGAACTGGCCCGAACCGACCCGAGCTGGACCCTTCCTGCCTAGAGGAGATGCTCGGGGAGGAGGAGGATGGAGGAGGAGGAGGAGGAGGAGGAGGAAGAGGAGGAGGAGGAGGAGAAGGTGGAGGAGGGGAGGAGGAGGAGGAGGAGGAGGAAGAGAAGGAGGGATGAGGAGGGAGGAGGGAAGAGGAGGAGGGAGGAAGAGAATTCTCGAGGAGCTCGGTCCCCACCTCCCCGTCCCCTGCACTGCCCCGCCCTCCCGCGCCCCCTCCCCTCGCCTCCCCCTGCCCGTCTGCGCCCCCATCCCTCGCCTCCCCTCCACCCGTCGTCCCTGCGCCTCACATCGATGCCACCTCGGTCCAACTGGGAGTGGGACACCGAGCAGAAAAACAAACACCCTCAGAATAAGCAGGCCGACAAGCCAAGATGTTTCGTAGACGCAACCAATGCAGGAATCGAACAGGGCAGGGCTGCTTCACAAACGGCCGGGGCCTCTCGCTAGCAAACGCCAATCCGCCGGCCCCCTTGCGGGGCCACCAAGCTGCGAGGATGAGGATTGCAGCTCCCTGTACCAGTTGCAGCTTCCAGTTTCCACTGTTACAGTCCTGCTTTCTGCTTCCTTACTGTTAACTGTTGCTGAACGTGCGAGGGGGGGGAGCCCCAAACCAGCTTTTTAACCACGCCCAGATCGCGTTGTCTGAATTCCTGGGGGGGCGTGGGACACGTAAAAATATATGGAATTCGCGTCCCCGAAACCACAATCCTCACTCAATTACGCCATATTCTCGTTCCCGAGGCCATAGACCCTTTCTAAATTACACGAAAGTCGCGTCGCCGAAGCCTAAATCCCCTACACATTACAGAATATTCGCGTCCCAGAAACCATAAGCCCTCGTAAATTACACAAAACTCGCGCCCCCGAGACAATAAACCCATGAAAATTACATCAGATTCCCGCCCCCGAAACCATAGACTTACAAACATGACACCATATTCGCGCCCCCAGGGCCACAAACCCTTTGAAATTACACAATACTTGCGTCCCCGAGGCCACAGACCCTCGCAAATTACACCAGATTCGCGTCCCCGAGGTCATAATCCTTGTAAATTGCACAATAGTTGAGCCCCCGAGGCCATAAACCCTTATGTTTGCATCCCCGAGGCCACAAACACTAGTAAGTTATCAAAGATTCGCGTCCCCGAAGCCATAAACCATAGCAAATTACCCCCCCCCAAAAAAAAAAAAAACAAAAAAAAAAAAACGCGCCACGTAAACCTTGTAAGTTAAAATTGGCCCTCGCGTGAAGTCCCAGCATTGCTTCACGTCAGCGTCCAGACATCCCAACACAGCTCGGGCAAGTCCCATTCTGAGAGATGGGGGCCGGCGGCATGGGGGCGAAGCCCTTGCGGATACCTGGGAGCTGGGGTGGTCTCTCTCCCAGGGCCAGCTTGGAGCTTGCCATGGGCGTGAGCCTTGGGCGTCTTGCACACCCTTGGGGACCTCTCTGGGGTCCCCTCTTGGCCCCCCGGGGGTTCCTCGCGGAGGCCTCGCGGAGCGCTCCGGGGGGGGAAGAGCAGGACGGGCCCCAACCTGGCCCGCGATCGCCAACGAGTCGCCCCCTCCCCGCGCACCCACGTGCCCCACAGGCGGCCACGCCCCTCTTGCCCGTCCGCGTCGCCGTCCATGGCTCCCCCGCCCCTCCCCCTCGGCTCCCCTCCTCCGCCCACTCCCCTCCGCGAAGGCTGCCTCCCGAGGGCGGCGACGCGCGCAGATCGAGCGGTGGCGCGGGAGGCAGCGGCGGCGACAGCTGCGGCGGCGCGCGCTGGAGCATGCGAGAGGAAACTTAGTCCCACCAGCCCTCTAACGATGTCTCCCTTTCCTCTACAGGTACACAATATGAATACTACTCCCCTCTCTAACCTAAGAAGGTCCGGCAATTATCCGCCCCCATCCGCAGACTGCTTTTATGCCCGGGATTCCCGGGAACTGGGTTTTCGCCCAAGTTTTTTCAACATGCTGCTCCCGCTGAAGCGCTGGCCTCATTTTCGGGTTTCCGCTCGTTCCGAATCGTGCTCCCGCTGCAGCGCTGGCCTCATTTCCGCGCTTCCGCTCGTTCCGAATGGTGCTCCCGCTGCAGCGCTGGCGTCATTATTTCCAGTGCCATGCCACGGCATGGCTTTCGACCCTTCCTAAAAGGCCCCAAGATCTAAAAAATGCCCCCCCGAAAAAACCATCGGAAGTGCTTACAAATTCGGTGTCGACTGGTTGACTTTTTGGGCAGCAGAAGCCCCTCCCCCCCTCTTTGGGGCGTCGCCACGCAATGCTATGTCATGCTACGCGTTGGTCTTCAACACCATGCTATGCCATGAAATGCTATCCCATGCTACGACGTCCGACTGTGCGAAGAGAGGAGATCTACGCCATGGTAAGGGATGGGAGGGAAGGGAAGGACATCTGATATGACGCGAGCGCACCTAGCTTGTCCAAAACCCCTCCTTCCCTTCGGGGGGATACACCCTCCCCTCCCCTCACTGAGGTTTTTTGGGGGGGCGCGAGGTGGCAGAGGGATAGTTTTGGTCCAAGATGGCTCCAAGAGGGCGTCCGATACTACAAGATGACTCCAAGTTGGCTCAGGTGGCCTCCTCTCCTCCTCCGCCTCCTCGTCAGCATCAGCAGCATTAGCAGAATCACCGTCATCATCATCATCATCATCATCATCATCATCATCATCATCATCATCATCATCATCATCATCATCATCATCATCATCATCATCATCATCATCATCATCATCATCATCATCATCATCATCATCATCATCATCATCATCATCATCATCATCATCATCATCATCATCATCATCATCATCAACATCATCATCATCAGCACATCATCATCATCATCATCATCATCATCATCATCATGATCAGCATCATCATCATCATCATCATCATCATCATCATCATCATCATCATCATCATCATCATCATCACCGTCATCATCATCATCATCATCATCATCATCATCATCCTCATCCTCATCATCATCATCATCATCATCATTTGCAGCATCAGCATCAGCATCATCATCATCAACATCATCAACATCATCATCACCATCATCCTATTATTCCTCTTCCTCCGTTTCCTCCTCGTCGTCCCATTAATGTTCCTCCTCTTCCTCCTCCTTCTCCTCCTCACCCTCATCACCCTCATCATCATCATCACCATCATCATCACCACAATCACCGCCATCATCAGCAGCCTCATCACCAGTATCATCATCATCATCATCATCATCATCATCATCATCATCATCATCATCATCAACATCATCAGCAGAATCATCAGCACCATCAGCATCACCATCATCAGCATCCTCATCATCATCATCATCATCATCATCATCATCACCATCATCATCATCATCATCATCATCACCATCATCATCATCATCATCATCATCATCATCATCATCATCATCATCATCATCCTACAACCCCTCCGCGAGCCAGCCCCCGACTCGCACCGCCGGGCAGGGCGGGGGGGGCGCCCACGAAGCGCGCTCGGACAGCAGGCTGGCCACGTGGTCCACCCAGGTGCTGGCGGGGTGGGCGGCCGACTGGCTGGCTGATTCGCTCGCGAGGTCGACGAAAGTGGGGAGAGGAGGAGGAGGAGGAGGAGGAGCACGAAGAGGAAAAGGGGGGAGGAGGAGACGATGAAACCGATGGTACGATAACGGCTACAGATCTGCGGGCGCAGAGGATACCGTTAACGGGCGTCTAACACAGGCACGGGTGCACGGCCGGCTACCCGGGCCCAAATGGCAGCGGGAAGAAGAATGAGTAGGCTACCGTCCGAATCTGGTGCTCAAACGAACCTGCCTGTGCCGCAACCAACGAGGCCGCATAAAAAGTTACAGCAGGAAAAGAAACCCTGATTCTGGCAAGCTCCAGGAGATGCCGGACTTCGCGACGCCCCAAAACACCTTGGCCCCGAGGGTGCCAAGCCCAAAAACCCTATTTACGGCACGCGAGAGGGGCGACAACTACTCCCGGCAGAGCTCCTGAAGCAATCTGGAACAGGCTGACGCCTTACGAGTTAAGGGGCAAGTCTGAACAGGTTTTCTACGAACTAGGTCCCCCATTAAAAAGCTTACAAGGGAGGGAAGCAGACAATTTTAGGAACAAAAACAGACGATGAACGCGCTGCACGCCAAAACTGCTGCTCCACAAACACAAAACATGGTGTGTATATATATATATATATATATTATATATATATACATATATATACATATATATATATACATATAATATATATATATATATATTATATATATATATATATAATGGCTCAGTGATTCGCGTTCGCGAGAATAGGTCTGAGGGCGGTGTGGCGGGAGGTGGGCACGGTCTTCTTGCGCCTCTCATCGCACGATCTGACCGCGGGGCGGTCGTGTTTGAGCTGCCCGCACATCACGTCCAAGGGCCCTCATGTCACAAGAAACACACCAAAACACGTCACTGATTTGCTCGGCGCGGAGCATGTCCGATAACCACCATAGATGTCCGGCCGCGCTGCGCTTGGAAGGTGGGCGCACAAGATCCACGGCGATGGCCGCAAAAACGGACGCCGACGTGCCTGATCGGCACACGGGTATCGATGTACTCGCGCTGGTCGAACGTCGCGGCACCGTCGGCGCAGCGACACTGGTGAACACCGCAGTTGGTGCGAAGTCGTCGCAGTCCCATTTCATCGTGCCGATGGCACTCTCGACGCGGCCGACAAGCTTATCGACGTGATCCGTTTGTCTAGCGATCTTCAAATCATCAACGCGCTCGGACAACGCGAGTACGAGATTGAAATCACCAGCAACGCAGTTGCCGGACGCCTCGCGCTCGACCTCGAGCTCTGAGCCCCACTTGGTGAGCGCGTGACCTGGGCGAGGAGTCCCATCGAGATGGTTCGGGGCGCGCCCACGCGGCCCGTGCCCAGCCCGACGCAGCGCAGGCGCTCGGCCCTCTCGTCGAAGAACGCGTAGCCAGGCACATGCCTGAGAAGTCGTCGGAAGTCGTCGACGTCGTCGGCTGGTCCGCGGCACGCCAGGGAGCAAGACCAAGCTGGCGTCCGCGTTGCGCACGCGGGGCGCACAGAGACATACCAATACTACATGTCCCCTTAGACGCGCGCGCCCGACCCGAATCTATATATATATATATATATATATATACATATACATATATATATATATAGCACGCCCATATCGTAGCACATCGTTTCCCGAGTGGCGACGCCAGAAAGCACCCGCCACGACACATATACTATAAGATTTCACGGCGCGCGCGTCGCCCCTGGGGGGGCGACGCACATATAGCATAAGCATGTTGGGGCCACGCCGATGCACGAGCAGCAGGCGGCAGGCGCGGCGCAGGATGCGTCGGCACTGTAGTCGCCCAACTAACGCGGGCCTCGAGTCAGACGGGGCACCCCCTATCGTCGTCGTTGAAAACAACATTTCTGGGAGATGCAGCCGGCGCAGCAGCTGGCGATGAAAGAGAGTTAGTCGGCGTCTCTGCACAACTCCGCGCGGCTTGGCGCCGCTGGTTTGCCCGCTGTCGCAGTAGCTCCAGTGCTAGCTGTGCGCCGTGGAGCTCGTCGAGGCGTCGTCGCCGGGCGCAATCGAAAATGGCACGCACGCTGCGCTCGGACGGATTGCCGCTGGAGACCCAGGCCTCGCGGCCGGCAAACCACATGTCCACTCCCCCAAGTGAGTGACCCACACCCACTGGCTTGTCTGCGCTGCAAATGGCCAGTCCAGAGGGAGTGCCTGGCATTGGAGGCGGCGCGAGCCGGCGCCGACTGCGTCGGCCAAATGGATCTCGATCCGCGCGGCGCGCCGATGCCGACCGAGCGACGCCACCGACGGCACGCAGGTCCAGCTCGGCAGCCGCACGTCGACAGCTGGCGGCGCGGGGGCTGCGCCTGCGCGCGGAGGCCGCACAGCCAGTCGCGCCCCTGGTTCTGCCCCGAAGGGAATGCGCCAACTCGCGCCCACTGCGGCGGCGCAGGCGGCGCAGCTGGAGCCGTCGGCGCCGCGGGCGCCGCCGCTGGCCCCCCCGCCGCGGCCGCGCGAGTCCGCCACGCAATCACGCATCCCGGCGGCTCAGCAGAGACTTGCACGCGGCCCACGAGATCGCCCATCTCCCGTCGCAGTCGCCGTAGCTCGGCGTCGCGGGGGGCGGGCGACGACGACGAGGATGCCGCGCCGACCCAGCCTGGCCACTGCGCGCGGCCAAGATGTCGCCATAAACCGTCGGGCGACGAAGTAGGCGCAGCAGCTGCAACTGCCGGCCGCGGCGCCCCCGATGCCGGCGCAGGCCGTCCGCCGCTCCAGAAATCAACTCCCCGCGTGGGCCACTCGCGCCAGGACCCGCAGACAGAGTCTGTCCACGGCTGGCGGAGCCCCCGAGTATCCAAACCGCATGCGCGTTCGCCGGGCGCCGCTGCTCAGCGAGGCCGGACGGCTCTCGCTGCCCCAAAGTCGATAGCGGCGCGAACGCCGCTGGCGACGGGGCGCAGGCGTCGAGGAAGAGAGCGCGCCCTTGGACGCGGCGCAGGGGGCAGTCGCGAACGGAGCGTTCCTCATAGTCACACCCGAGGCACTTGAATCGCACCCCGTCGGGGCCCACAGGGCTGCCTCGACGGCCTGAACCCACGCCTATGGCCCTGGACCCCCCTCGCCGCTTCCCGCCGCCAACCCCGAAGCCCGCGAAGGTCTCTCAGAAGTCACGTTCGGACATGTCGGCCGCGCAGGCTCGGTAGCCTACGCCGCCGCCTTCTGCCTTTCCCCTCAATGACCTCCTGGGCGCTGCGCGCGGGCCTTCCGTCGACGAAGCGACGCCATCGTGATTCGGCGCGCCCGCCAGCCCAGGCCAAGTGCGCGCCGCGCTGCTCCACCGGAACATCGCGTAACTCGGGGTCGTCGGCGGCCCTCTCCTTCGCCGCAAGAGCTGATGGCGTCGGCGTCAGCGCCCGAGTCGACGGCAGCTGCCGGGAACGCCTCCTTCGCTGGCGACGCTGGCGCAGGCGGGCTCGGCGTCGCCCCCAGCGCCGATGGGCCCAGGCCGCCACCGCCCGATCCGGCCGCAGCGCCATAGACACTCTGAGCCTGATCTCGCGCGGGCGCACCTGCGAGGAAGGTTCGCCGCTGGCCCAAGCGAACCGCCGAGGCGATATTGCCCGGCGAACCAGGAGGAGGAAGCTGAGACCCGCGTAGACAATACTGAATTGACCAGCTGGCTGGGCGCGGTTGCGGAGGACGTCGAAACGCGCGAGGATGTCATCCGCGCGCCCCTGCGGACGTCGAGAGATTGCCGAGGCGCGCCCCCCCGTCGCCCAATGAGCCCAAACATTCGGCCAGACCGCGCGTCGGGAAGGCCATCGGTGCCACCGGGCCGCCGTTGATATCACTTCCCTATTCGAGAACAGCCAGCGGCCGCTCGCCCGCACAGTCTCCGCCCACGCCAGTGAGACGAGATGAGACGCGGGCCGCCTGGCGGAACTCGCTGAAGCTCGAAGTCGCCACTGACCACATCATCACCCCCCGCGCCGCGCGCCCGAAAGACACCGAGATAGCTGCTCGGGCCCCCGGGCGCGGAGGCGCCGCGCGCCGCCGCCGCCGCCGCCCGCGCCCACGCGGGCGAGGCAGCTGGCCAGAGAAATTTGCCGAACATCTCCACGTCACTGGAAGACAGAAGACGCAACGCGCGCCCGCTATGAGGACCTTCTCGCGCACCCTTTGGTCTAGGACTGAGCCTGCCAACTTGCTCGGGCACCCCTGGCCCCGTCCGCCCCCGGCGCTTCGGCGCGCGACAACCAACCACGCGGGGCAGGGCTGCGCTGTCACGAACGACACCTCGGCTTACAAACACGATACGCCACTGTGCGCAACGCCCGAATCGCCGGGAGACGTCAAGCGGGCCCCTCGCGATCGACGAGCGCAGACAGTTGAACTGCCCGCGTCGACCTAGAGCCCAGCTGTTTGGGCCTGCAGAGAGAAGGAAGCAACAACTGCCCCCTCCACCGTGACATCGCGGCCATCCGCTGGCGCCTCACATCTCCATGAACGCACGCCAACCGCGGCCCCGGAGACGAGCCACCTGCCCCATGCTGCCAGGCGCTCGCGGGACACCTCGCTCGCGAGGCCGGCCTCGCCGCGGCCCCCTGGGCCGCCGGGGCCAAACTGCCAGACCCGCACGCGGACACGGCAACAAAATCAGAACGCACCTGCTAAGCCCCCTGTTCGAGCCGACCGCCGCCACTTCTCTGGCTGCGGGGGCCGAACGCCGGAGCGGGCGGGCCCCGGCACAGCGACGTCGCGCGGATGGCAAGCCTCCGCGCCGAAGTCGAGCTCCGGCGAGACTTTCGGATGCCGACCAGAAGGTCGCCAAACATCTCCACGCCACTGGAAGTCAACAGAATGCGAGCCCGCGTTGAAACCCTTGTCGCGCACCCTCTGGTTCAGGCACCCCTGGCCCACTCTCTCAGGCACCCCTGGCCCCGTCCGCCCCCAATGTTTCGGCGCGCGGCTGGCTATCCACACCAGGACCTGCCACAACCAACCTCGCGGGGCAGGTCGACGCCGTCGCAAACGACACCTCCATTTCCGACTGCGCGAGATATCACTACGCGCAACACCCGAATCGCCCGAGCATGTCAAGCTGGTCCAGCGCGACAAGCGCAAACTAACGAACTGCCTGCGCCAACCTGGAGCCTGGCCTCCTGGGCCCTCAGAGAGATGGAGGAAACAATGCTGGGGCACGCGCGCCAACCCCGACGGCCTCCCACCCAGAGTGGAGGTCCCTCTATAGGTGCTGGAGACCAGGGGAGCACCGACGGCGTGGCTCCGCCCGTGAGCCTCGGAGCCGCCGCGGGTGCCAGCCCCGAATGTTTTCCTCTTCGTGAGCGCATTGGGCGTTATCTTACGTCGCGTCGTTGCGGCTGTCACCGCACTCGGGGCATCCCACACCACTGTTGCGAGTGCGCCGTTCGAGCGTAGCGTCGTCGCCACGTTCGCCGCGTCCCGAACATTCCGCAACATAGTCGCGGACACGCCACTCGCGCGTCGCGTCGCCACTTCACTGGGCGCCGCCAGCTGCACGATAGTCCAGAGGAGTGCGCATGGGGATCTCGCCTTGCCTGACGGGAGGGAACCGGCGGGTGGCGATACGTCCTTCACCAACACAACATCGAAGACAGGTAGTCCCAGACCCGTTTCACCGCCCTTGAAGAGATGACATAGTTGTCCTATATCGCACCGAATTATCACTCTAATCCGAACCCTGATGCGCCTGCATATCCCAGGGCTCCCGCAGCAGATTTTCGAGCCGATGTGTATCTACAGCCGAGGACAAGTCCTGTAGTTCCGAGAGCGCCTCCATCATAGTTGAAGCACGCCCCGGGAGAGAGGCAATCAGCGGCGGTTGGCGCCGCGCTCTTTGAGGTGGTTGATGATGCCCTTGTAGTGGTAGGTGTCCTTGTTGTCCGACTTAGATGGCACGAGGATCATGAACACAGAAAGCAAAAGCACTCGAAGCACTCTTGCCGAACACAGTGAGGATGATAGGGGTACAAGTAGGCGAGCAAGAGACTGGCGGAGGAACCACGCGGGCCATGGCGGCGAGAGGTAACGAAAGGGAACCGAAGCCCCGCTACCAATTATGAAAACGGATGATACGACAAAGGGCACCTTTCCTGCGGGTGCAGAAAATACGGTTAATAGGCGTCTAACACGGGCACAGGTGCACGGGCGGCTACCTGGGACCAAATGACAGCGGGAAAACGGACAAGATTGAACAAGGCAAAGAAGGCAAGAGCAGTGAGAATGCTACCGTTCGATTAGGAGGGGAGGAGGAGAGGAAAGAGGAAGGGGAGGTGGGGGAGGAGGGTAAGAGAGGAGGAGCTTGATTATGACGATGACGATGGCCATGACGTCGGCGATGGCGATGATGATGCTTATGATGTCGATGCTGATGATAGTGTACATGGCGGTGCTGATGGTACACTGTGGCGATGATGATGGTGATGGCGCTGGTGACGGCAAATTGGTAAAGATGCGGGTGATGATGATGATGATGATGGTAGTGGTGATGATGATGACGATGCCGATGCTGATGATGATGCTGATGCTGATGCTGATGCTGATGCTGATGCTGATGATGCTGATGCTGCTGATGATGCTGATGATACTGATGATGATGCTGATGATGCTGGTGATGATGATGATGATAATGATGATAATGATGATGATGATGATGATGATGATGATGATGATGATGATGATGATGATGATGATGATGATGATGACGCCAGTGATGAGGATGATCGTTCTCCGCCCCCTCGTCCCCATCTCAATCATCTACCCGCTTCTTCCCTCTGCTCCGCGAAGGGGCGCAAGCGGCGGCGCGCCCCTTCGCCGTCTTGAACGGCCCCGATGTCGATCGGGGGGGTGAGCGCGCCGGGGAAAGCGACCTCGCGGGGGCCAGGGCGACTGAGCACCACGGAGGAGTGAGATAGGGGTGAAAACAAGGAGGGACAAGGAGGATGAGGACAGCACAACACACCCCCACTCGAAGCCAAGACACCCACTCCCGACCTGGTGATCCAGGGAAGGGCCTGGTTAAGGATGAGTGTCTCTTAGCTCCCAACAACCCCAGGGCAACACACCCCCCCTCCCCAAGCCATGGATCACCAGGTCAGGAGAAGGGTCCTAGCTGGGGATGGGGACGACTTGTGCTGTCCTCAGAAGAGAAGGGGGGAAGAGGAGGCGGGCAGAGGCGAAGATCATTACGACGACGACTTCTGAGGAAGCTGAACAGAAGGGGGACAGAAACAACAGGAGAGAGAACTGCCGTGAAAATACGTGCACTGCGCCTACGTACGAGCATCGAACATATTACGCGCGGTCGTTATCGCATGATTGAAGCTGCTGTTCGTCCGTGCTAAGCCCGCGCGCACGCGCCCTCTCCCACTCCTCCACCCCTCCCCGTTTCCTGCTCAATTCTATCAAACGGTTGCGCAAGTCTCCGCCCCTGTGCTGGAAGCAGCACAGAACCTACCCTGGCACATCGGCAAGGGCTGGAAAACGCGCGCCCACACCAAGGAAACGCGGGGGGCGTATTCTCGAACAGTTGGATACCCGATGCGTTGCAGGACTGGCGCCGACGCGACACAGGAGCTACGGCGAACGCACCTCGCGGAGAGGCAAGCGGAGGGAGGAAAAACACACGGACGGGCCTGGAACGCAAAAAAGAGAACCAGCTTGACTCAAATCCCACCAGCCCTTTGGGCGTAGGTGGTCTAGAATGTTTCCTCCGTTACCCCTCCTACTTCCCTTTTGGGGAAGGGTTTACCCCTCCCCCGACCCCTTCCCCTGGACCTGGACGGGGGGGTCCGCGACGCGCTGGGGCGTCCGAAACGGTCTCGGCGAGGAAGCCAAAATCATCGGTTTTACTAGGTTTGGGCCCCACGTTGGCCTCCTGAGGGGGGGGGGGCTAATTTAGTCCCCCCCCTGTGATCGATCTCATCCAAGATGGCCCCAAGAGGCGCCCAGGAGGCCCCAAGAGGCCCCGAGATGGTCCCGAGATGGCCCCATGTGGCCCCGAGAAGCTCGCAAGAGGCCCCCAGGATGCCCCCAAGAGGCTCCCAAGAGACCCCCACGAGGTCCCAAGAGGCCCCCCAGAGGCACCCAAGACGCTTCAAGAGGCCTCGGCGACAATGCCAAAATCATTGATACTACTAAGGTTTTGGCCACATTTGGGCCTCCTGGGGGGGGCATTGCTTCAGATGACTCCAAGAGCGCCTAGGAGAGCCCAAGATGACCTCCAAGATGGCTCAAGATATTCCAAGATGCCTCAAGATGGCTCCCACGATGCTCCAAGAGGCCCCAAGACCGTTTCAAGATGGCTCCAAATGGCCAAAGAGCTCCGTCAGGAGAGCCCGAAGAGGCCAAAATCCTTCCAATACCTCAGAAAGATCCATACTTTGGGCTTTCTCGCATTTTCGCTTCCGATGGTCATCCGAGGCTTCAAGATGACTCCAAGATGGCCCAAGAAGGGCTCCAAGAGCGCTCCCAAGGCTCCCAAGAGCGCTTCAAGAGGGCCCCAAGAGGCGCCCAGGAGGCCCCAGGAGGCCCCAACAGCCGCCCTCCAAGAGGCCCCCAAGAGACTCCCAAGAGGCCCCGAGAAGCTCTCCGAGGCACCCAAGACGCTCTAAGAGGCGTCCGGGACCGCCTTGAGGCCCCAAGACGCTCCAAGAGGCCTCCACTGGGGGACCCATCCTCTGTGTGCTGCCCTCTTCCCTGATCGAGACACTTCCTCTGAGCATCGTTTCTAGATGGGCTGGTGGGGTTACTTTTTTGGTCGCGGGCGGACGCGGATTCGAAGTCGCCGAGCTGAGAGGTCCCGGCCACGGGCCTGTCAAATTAGCAACGCGCAAGCCTAAAAGCACAGCGGCCGCGCCCGCACTCAGAAGCAGCCGCCTGTGGGGCCGCGGGCTGGAGGGGAGCTGGCTGAGCTGACTGCGAACGGCCAGGGTAGCTGATGCACCATGCGAGAATGGCTCCAAAACGCCAGAAAGGAATTAAGTCCTGCACGCCAGGAGAACATGATCAGCTCTGTATCTGCAAACCACGCATCAACCTAGCGGAGCGCTTCCACCGCCGGGCCAACCCAGAAGGGCTGGTGGGGTTACGCGAAGCGTCTAGAATTTGTACTCCGAAGCATGGGGCACAAGCTATCGTGCATTCCACCAGGCGCTGCAGGTGGTGGGCTGCGCGAGGCGAGTGGGCGCAAAGGGAACAAAACCCAACTTAGTGAATGGGCATGCGAAACCTGCCTCACACGGTTTTTAATCCGCGGGCGCCACATGGTCTAAGACAGTCAGACGCCCGTCAGCAAGCGGTGGGGTGCCCCGGGAGCGAATTGAGGCACGAAGGCGAAAAGTAACGCGTGGCTCACACACTCACATCCACACACCCATTTCCTCCAGCGGCGAGGTGGCGGAACCGTCGCGAGTACTGAGGCGGGGCACGCTTCGTTGAACCACTCCCCCCTACCCCACCCTGGTCAAGCCTCTCCTCGCCGCCTCCTCCTGCTCCTCCTCCTGCTCCTCCTCCTCCTCCTCCTCCTCCTCATCATCATCATCATCATCATCATCATCATCAGCAGCAGCAGCATCAGCATCAGCATCAGCATCAGCATCATCATCATCATCATCATCATCATCATCATCATCATCATCATCATCATCATCATCATCATCATCATCATCATCATCACTGTCATCATCATCACCATCATCATCACCACCACCACCATCACCACAACCACGATCAGCATCATCAGCATCATCATCAGCAGCATCATCAGCATCATCAGCATCAGCATTCGTTTCCTCATCCTCCTCCTGCTCAACCTCCTCCTCCTCCTCTTGCTCCTTCTCCTCCTCATCCTCCGCCTCCTCCTCTTCCTCCTTCCCCTCGTCCTGTTCTCCCTCCTCCTCCATTTCCTCCCCTCCCTCCTCTTGTTCTTCCTATTCCTCCTCCTCCTCCTCCTCCGCCTCCTCCTCTGCCTCCTCCTCCTCGTCCTCCGTAGCCATCTTGGCTCAAGGTTTTGGTTCCCCCTGGAAATAAAATGGATACCGGCCACCTCAGTGTAGCTCCGCGCTGCTGAGGCCAAGCCAGCGTCACGACGGTTCCGCGTCTTCACGCCTCCGTGCTCCCAGGAAGACGGTCAGCCAGCCTCCCCCACTTGCTGACAAGGGTGCTCTTGGGAGTGTTAGTTGGAAGCGCAGGCCATGGTTATATGTGGGCCCCTTGTGGAAGTGTACGGCGTGTGGGTGTGGGAAGAACCTGAACTCTTACCGCTGGTGCAAGCACTGTAGTGAATGGAAGCCAAGGGGTCCGAATTACGGCAGCAGCCTTCTCCCGACTCCCGGTGGCCCAGGGGACCACCTACCGCGCAGAAGAAACATCATTCGGAGGATACGCAGTCCAATACCCAGCTCGATGTCTCCTCTCTCGGAAAAGACCAGCTCACCAGCCTGCGTGAGACATCCAGCAAGATCGGGAAGAAATCGCTCGTTGACCTTTGTGACAAACAGCTCAGGACGCTCGACAGAGCGCCGCCTCCGTCGCCACCCAACGCACAGCGCCTGGCAGCATCCAGGCGCGCACTCGACCAGCAGGGAAACAAGCTCAACAAAGCTGTGGACCAATGCTTCAAATGGAAGCGTGACATCGCCAACCCTTGTCATGTCGGGCGTGTCCCCCTACAGGGAACTTTTTTTGACGAAAATTAAAAATAATAAAATACCTGAAATACCCTGAAAGGTAGAAAAATACTCAAAAAAAATCCCCAGGCTATTTTTGCATTATTTTTGGACTATTTTGGGGGTACTTTTATTTTTCGTCGAAAATCCCCCTGTAGGGGGACAGGCCCGACTTACAACCATTGGGAGTATGTCGGCACGCTCAAAGAAAAACCGGAGTTGCTACAGGCAGACTATGATCAGCTGGCGGCGGAGGCCAGCGGCAGCGGGCCCAAGGCCCTAGCAGGACTCGGAGCAGCCCGCCAGCTGAGCCGAAGCTGTCTCTACGCGCGCTCTTGGCTGGTTCGTTGGACGGGTGTACCACTGACTCCGGAGATGCGTTCCACTTGGGGGGGTGACGAGGAATATCGAGGAAGTGGAGCTCAAGCAAGCAGAAGAACGACGGGAGGCATTGGTCGCCCGGCTCCAGTCCGCAGCATCATCTCTCTTCTCCGAGGCGGCCACCGAGTGCGCGAAGGCCGGGGAGGAGCACGAGGCCCAGCGTCTCCGCCTCGGTGAGAAGAGAAAGACCCAGGACGGGGCTGCCCCACGGCGAGAAGGCCCCACCCGCCCAGGACACTGCAGAACCTCCGTCGGCAGGCCCCGCGCCTGCGGTCTCGGGCTCCGGCTCGGGTGGCCAACAGCCGGCAGGCAAGGACGAGGCCGAGGAGGCCAGGGAGGGCTCTCGGGCAGGAAGCCGCCGGGCGCGCGGCGGGGGATCCTGGCCCCCCCTCTTCCTGGCCACCCACTGCCGCCCCCCTCGGCACCCCGAGAGGGGCTGTATGGGGGCCCTGGAGCATTCTCCACCCTGGGTCGGCCGCGGTGAGCGGCTGGGCCCTCGACTCCCCGAGCGGGGCTTTTCAAGGGGGGCTCGGGGCATCCCCCACCTTGGGAGGACGGTGGAGCAGGCTACCATAGGAGTGGGGGTCAGAAGAGGGCATCAGTTGACAGATAGTCATCAGTTTGCGTTCGTAACATCACGTCGTGGGGGAGTAGTCAGCACGCTCAACGACGTCGAGGACGGGGTTTGAGGAGCGGACGTGGCGGGGTCTGCTGAGACCCATTTCGACGATTCTCCTGCCATTATCGAAGCTATGGACAAGCATGGTTGGAAGGCTGTTGTTTCCCCGCCCGGGGCGCGGAGTGACATCAAGCGGCCAGGAGGAGTGGCGACTGGCGCTGGGAGGCACATCACAAGTCACTCGCACAAGGATCTCTGCAGGACCCCAGACCAGCAGGGAGGGTTCGGGGCGCCTGGAGGGCCAGTTGTCAGGAGGGGGGTCCATCGATTTCTGGGATTTCGCCCCAGTGTCCATCGAGCTCACAGGAGGATTAGATATGATTATTGTCTCATTGTATCTCGCGCCAGGTTCGAGGCTGCGCGGCATCAATGCAGAGAAGATGACCAGTCCCAGAGCCTTGTTGAGGCTCACAAGAATGCCTTGGATCATCGCAGCGAATCGGAATGTCTCGCCGTAGGGTGGGACGGTAGTGGCGGGGGGAGCTGGGGGAGACGGTGGTCGCACCAGGGAACACGACTTGGACTTGCAACCGACCGCCCTAAAACATTCTGGATTTCTTTCTCGTCTCCAATTTCGCGTCGTGGCTCATGTATGAATGTTTCGCCGACGACGCAGGAGGGGACCAAAAGGGCATCTGGCTCAAGTTGCATGTCAATACCCTGGCGTCCGAGATTAGAACTTTGCAGTTGCCTCGTCGTTTTGCGCACCCACCCCATCCTAGGCGAGAACCAGATCCCGACAGCAAGCGCAGCCGCAAGAAGGCGGAAAGGGACGTGAATGGTTCCACCCTGCCGCAGCGGAGACCGCGACGACGACGACGTCCGCCGCGACGTCTGCCCAGCGCTCCCTCTCGGGGGCGCGCAAACGTGGATTAGCGATCCGTGGATCTGGCGCGCGGTCGCCAAAGCCATGGATCAGGGGAGCTGCCCTCCCCAAAACGCGGCCGGGGCCGCCTCGCTCGGCGGCGGAGACCCGCGATGCCCCATGGAAGCAGGACCCGCAGCTAATCCACGCCCCCCTGATCCGTGTCTGCGATCGCCGGAGCCTCAGCCCACAATCCGCCCCGTCCCGCACCGCTGCCCGACCCTCGAAACACTGGAACATCAGGAAAATGAAGGGGTCCTGGGACACACACAAACGAATACACATACGCAACAGGATTCCCCACATTTCCCTAGGTACTCTTGGGTTTGTGTTTGTCTTCCCCCCCACTTCCCCTCCACCCGCCCCTGCCCACACCCCCACTTGGGGGGCGGAAAGATACGGACACGTGTTGTCCCCGGACCTCTCTTGGGGTGCGTTCTGACCAGAATTTTGAGGCGAATCCAGCGGTGACCACGAGGATTCCCCAGGAGGACCAGGAAAGGCCGAAAACGACGGGGGACAACACGTATCCGTATCTTTTCCTCCCCCGACCCACGGCCTGCGCCCGCCCCCCGGCACCACCCCCCGCGGCCTGGCGCGGTCCGCCTCGAAGTCGGGCTCCGGGAACTTGGGCAGCGGGGGCAGCACCACCGACGAGGGGTCCTCGGCCCGCGGCCCGTCCCAGAGAGGGAGGCGGCGGGCGCGGGGAGGGGGAGGAGGAGGAGGAGGAGGAGGAGGAGGAGGAGGAGGAGGAGGAGGAGGAGGAGGAGGAGGAGGAGGAGGAGGAGGAGGAGGAGGAGGGAGGAGGAGGAGGGAGGGGGAGGAGGAGGAGGAGGAGGAGGAGGAGGAGGAGGAGGAGGAGGAGGAGGAGGAGGGGGAAGAAGGAGGAAGGAGGAGGGAGGAGGGAGGAGGGAGGAGGAAGAAGGAGGGAGGAGGGAGGGAGGAGGAGGGAGTAGGAGGAAGGAGGAGGAAGGTGGGAGGAGCGAGGAGGGGAGCGAGGAGGGGGGAGGGAGGGAGAGAGGCAGGGAGGAGGAGGAGGAGGAGGAGGAGGAGGAGGGAGAAGGAGAAGGAGAAGGGAGGACGAGGAGGAGCAGGAGGAGCAGGAGGAGGAGGAGCAGGAGGAGGAGGAGGAGGGAGGGAGGGGGGAAGGGACAGGAGGAGGAGGAGGAGCAACGGGAAGAGAGAGAAGGGATGAGGAGGATGAGATCAGAGGAGAAGTTTGGCAGCGATGCTTTTGCTCTCTTCCTCTGGGAGCTGGCACTGGCACCCCGCGCTGAAGATCGCCAGCCCCGCTGCCGCACTGGCGCGATCGGGCGCCGCGCAGAAACCTGCGCCGCTCGGGTCACGACAATGACAAATCAACCGAACCGAACTGCGGTCCTGGTCTGTTGGCTTTTTGGGAGGCGGCACGTGCTGATATGCTGAAGCAGTACGAGGCGGGCGAGCGACTGGCAGTCCAAACGCATGGAGCCCCACCATACTTCTGGGAGGGAGACCGAATTACGGTCCCTGCCTTGCGCTGTCTAGGGAAACGGCACGTGCTGACATGTTGAAGCACAGCAAGGCGGACGAGCGACGGGCCGCCGGGAAACAGAAGCCTGCCGCGGGAGCGTCGAAATGGAGGCCTCCTAGATGGGGTCGGAGTAGATGGGGTCGGAGGATCGCGCCGCATCGCCGAGACATCGGCGATGCATCGCCGATGCATCGGCCACGCACTGGCGACCCCAGCAATGCATCCGCGACGTCAGCGTGGGGCAAATCGGGCCCCACATCGAGCCGCATCGCCGATGCATCGCCAGTGCATCGGCGATACATCGGCGATGCGGCGCGATCCTCCGACCCCGTCTGCTCCGACCCCACCTGGGAGACCTGGACGAGATCCCTCGGAAAGTCCTCCTGCGAGCACCTGGCGGGGCCGCCGGGGGACTGGCAGGGAGACACGCGCGCGCGCGGGATCCCGCCGGCCCTGCCAGGTTGGCACGCCTCCCGCCCCGCTCGGGGGCAGGGGGCCAGTCGAGACGACGGCGGCCCCCCCGCCCAGCCCGAATCCTGCAACAGCAGAACCCTGGCGCCTCGCGGCCAGAACATTGTTCTAGGGATGTCAGCGCCACGTATCAACCTGACTGCTGCGTCCTGATGATCCAGAATGGTGCCAGAACGCCATTTCTGGGACTTCAGCACCGCGAGTCAACAGAATTGTTGCGCCCGCATTATCCTGAATTCTTCCTACATGCCATTTCTGGTACGTTGATCATGGGACCCCGCGAAATTCTTACAAACTTTTAAAACGAGTGTGCGCGGCGCTAAGGCGAGAGCCACACTTTGAAAAAGAACTGCCCTCAATCCGCAAAACTCTTGCAATGTTTTGAAACGAATGCGCACGGCGCCAGGGCAAGAGCCACCTTTCGAAAACGGCCCGCCCTCAATCCGGGAAACTCTTGCAATTGCGGCGCTAAGGCGAAAGACACATGTTGAAAACGACCCGCCCTCAATCCGTGAAACTCTTGCAAAGTTCTAGAACGAATGCACGCGGCGCTAAGGCGAGAACCACATTTTGAAAAGGAACTGCCCTCAATGCGCGAAACTCTTGCAATGTTTTGAAACGAATGCGCACGGCGCTAAGGCGAGAGCCACATTTTGAAAACCACCCGCCCTCAATATGTGAAACTATTGCAAAAACGAATGTGCGCGGCGCTAAGGCGAGAGACACATGTTGAAAACGACCCGCCCTCAATCCGTGAAACTCTTGCAAGGCGAGAACCACATTTTGAAAACGACCTGCCCTCCATCTGTGAAGCTGTTGTCACTGATTAAGCTTCAGAGTCATAAATGGTAAGGAAGTCTCAGGCGAAACGCCTGGCCCGCCCTAAAAACTGGCCTCGGGGTGCGACAGGGAGAAGTTAACTATAAGGAGAAGGAATGGAGGACGAGGAGGAAGAGGAGGAGGAGGAGGGGGAAAGCGCCAGCTATCACTTGTGGACCCACCTGCATCGCATAGATCGCATAGGAGGTTGAGGAGGAAGGAGAGGAGAATGAGGAGAAGGAGGAGGACAAAATGGGTGCGCGCGCCATATCTGATGTCCTGACCATCCCTTCCCATTGCGCTGTTGCTGCCCCAATCCGCCTGCGCGTGTCATAGCGGACCTGGAACTCCAGAAAGGACCCAATACTTTCATGCGCAATCGAAAAGGGGAAGCTGCGTACATGGGAGGAGAAGGTGGCAAATGAGCAGGAGGATGAGCAGGAGGGAAAAGGGAGGCGGAGGAGGGAGGAGGACGAGGACGAACAGCAGCAGCAGGAGTTGGAGTGGAAGGAGCGGGAGGAGCAGGAGGACCAAGGGAAGGCGGAGGGGAAAAGAGGGAGCGGTGACGATAAGGGAGGACTCCGAACCAGAAACGTGGCCCGAGCTGGGGCGAAAGAATCACTCTGAACGACGTGGGCAGAGCACCGATTCTGAAGCGAGACCCTGCAATAGGAGCGTCCTTGTGGAAGTACCGCAAACGCACATGTTGAAAAAACACATCAGAAACTTAGCCCGGCAAAGGACGGACCATATGCAGTTGTGAATACCGTCGTTGTTAGTATCGCCTTCGCTGGATCTCCTTATAGCGCCACGAAGCGTGTGAAGAGTGTGCCGAAATGGGGCAGGGCGGAGCTCCCTGTAAGGCCACGAAACGTGTGAGGGGTTTGTCAAACTGGGGCGGCGCCGCCATGCGGACTGCACCTCTGGGACCTTAGATGGAGCTCTCTATGGGGCCACGAAACGTGTGAGGGGTGTGCCAAATGGGGCGGCGCCGACATGCGGACTGCACCTCTGTGACCTTAGATGGAGCTCCCTATGGGGCCACGAAATGTGTAAGAGGTGTGCCAAAATGGGGTGGCGCCGCCATGCGGACTGCGCCACTGGGACGCTAGGTGGAGCCCCCTATGGGGCCACGAAACCTGTAAGGGGTGTGCCAAAATGGGGCGGCGGCGCCATGCGGACTGCGCCACTAGGACCTGATGTGAAGCTCCCTATGGGACCACGAAACGTATGAGGTGTGTGCAAAAAAGGGGGCGGCGCCGCCATGCGGACTGCGCCACTAGGAGCTGAGGTGAAGCTTCCGATGGGGCCACGAGACGTGTGAGGGGTGTACCAAAATGGGGCGGCGCCGCCATGCGGACTGCGCCACTAGGACATTACTATGGGGCCACGAAACGTGTGAGGGGCGTGCGGCGCCGCCATGTGGACTGCGCCACTGGGACCTTAGATGGAGCTCCCTGTGGGGCCACGAAACGTGTGAGAGGTGTGCCAACATGGTGCGGCGACGCCATGCGGACTGCGCCACTGGGACCTTAGGTGGAGCTTCCTATAGGGGTGTACCAAAATGGGGCGGCGGCGCCATGTGGACTGCGCCAATGGGACCTTACGTGGAGCTCCCTCTGGAGCCGCGAAACGTGAAAGGGGTGTGCCGAAATGGTGGACTTGCGGTGAGCAGAGGCGGGGATGGAAGGAGGGAGGAGGAGAAGAGAGGAGAGGAGAGGAGAGGAGAGGAGAGGAGAGGAGAGGAGAGGAGAGGAGAGGAGAGGAGAGAAGAGGCGAGGCGAGGCGAGGAGAGGCGAGGCGAGGAGAGGAGAGAAGAGGC